AACAATATGCTTAATCGTTGTTACCTCCCTTGATAGAGGATCCTAACAAAACATTTAATGGAGACTCACAGACCAAAGACTCATTGTAGTATGATTTTAAACATATTGTTACAATTTCAGATGATTCTTAGCTCTTCTTTCATACTTGATTAATGATTTATAAAATAAGCTGTAATTCTGCTTTAACAACTATGTCCTACAGATAGACTACTTACAATATATGTTAAGTATATTTGTATATTAATCAAAGTGCACTATTTCAAATTTTGAATATGTCATTAGTACAATATGATGCGAAACAAAGTAGAAGGTAGATAGATTAAAATACAGTAACAACATTGTGTGTTCCTGTAAAATATAGTTAAGAAGTCTACCTACAAATGTTGTGGTGATTAATTTTTGTTGACATAACAGCTTTTCTTGAAAATTTTGTTTTACAAAAACAAACATGATAAATTATGAAAACAACTATTATATAACATGTGTATTTCTATATAAATAATACTATGACATGAATGTGACAATAAACCAAGGCTCTGTCACAGGAGGTTTAAGATTTTTGAAGATAATGTTGGTGGCATCAACTTGATACTTGGCCAGTGGCCACATTTCTTTTATTTCACACTGCAAGAAGTCACTGCTTCATTACATTAACCCAAGAAATAGCAGAAAAGTAGGATAAAAACTCATAAAAACATATATTGATGGTAGACAGACTTGTCTTTGAAGTCACTTTGTAATCTATAATAGATTAATATTGTTCAAGTGCAAACACTGTACATCATTACAAAAACAGTTAATTACAAAAATTATTCAAGTTATATTCATATATACATTATTTTAAATCAAAACCAAAATACAACACTTTCAAAGCTAAATAGGCAGTTTAACTGTACATGTAATACTTCCTATTTTTACTTTTCTATTTACCCTCAAAAGAAATTGTAAGTCAAATAAGGTATTAAATGAGAATTTTACAAAAATAACATTATATTTCCAAATACTTCATTTTAGGGTTCAAAACAGAATGAACAAAAAAAAAAAAAACATATTTAACGTTGCAATTCTTTTGAAACCCATTATTTGGTCCCTACGATCAAAATGTATGCATATTTTGAGTGAAGTAGCAAAAAAAATGAATACAATTAACATAAAGGAATAGTTCAAGGTAACCTAATACATCAAAGAATGTTAATGTTACTTGTCCATGTTAAGTTGGTCAGTGCTTCTTCAGCAAAATATCTTCTAAACACCTAAAGATTTGTCAAATATGACTTACACAAATTGCTACCCTTAGCAGCTTTTATCAACAATTTCTTTCTTTATATAATATTCAGCAATATGCAATAGAACAGAGACAAATCTAATCATCCACATTTCCATTTTATAAGATTATGATGTAACTGTTCTATGTGATGTGTATTTAAAACAATCAGATGCAAATACCAGAGAAAAGATACACACTGTGTAAAGGTAACCTGTATATATTACAGATACAGATACACACCCCCCCCCCCCCCC